GCAGATCAACACTCCCGCCCAACTTGGCAGGATTGTGATGCTATAGTCAAAATTTCCTCTTTCAAAAAGCTGTTCTTTTCCTTGCTGTTGTGTGAAAGATACATACTGGGGGGGAGATGAGACTAGTTTATTATGCCTAGTATGTTGACTTGAAAAATATTTTTCCTTGTGTTTTTTTCATTTTGAATTATCGAAATTTGCTTGTAATAAAGTTTTGACTAAAGTGCCTTTTTGTATAGTTTTGTGAATACGTATTCTTCAAGTTTGGCAGATTTTTTTCATGCATCCGTAACTGACAATTCCTTATTTGTCATTTTATTTCAGTTCTTGCACAAAGAGGCTACTTCAAAGACAAAGCTTTTGTAAATTATCTTAAATATTTACTTTATTGGAAAGAACCTGAATATGCAAAATACCTGAAGTAAGTGTTAAAATCACTTAGGTTTCTGCATTTTAATAATTCAATGTTTACCTTCTGTTATGTACTGTACAGAAGCATGTCAGTATCTGATTTCTGCCTGTAACCTCACCTTTGTCCTCCCCATTGTGTTTATATGCAACATAAATTTTCCTGTTTCTAACAGTCCAGATGTAGTAAAAATAGACAAAATTATAAAACCTGTCTTTCATGAGTCGTGCATGGAATCTTCCTTTTGCAGCCTCTATCTGCATTTTACCATTTGTTGAAAAAAAAAAAAACTATTGAACATTATGGTACAAAACTACTCCTGTTAGGCCCAGTGAGTACATTTTAAGAGTGTTTTTGCATTGTTGATGCTTACACGAAACAAAGGATGACTTTGCATTTTTGTGAGTGTACAAAATTTTGGGAGAACAGTTCTTGGTTATGTTCTTTAAATGAGCTTTGGAAACAGATATTGTAGTTGTTATGTATTTGTTTTAGTAAAATCTATCCATTAGAAAAGCTACTCTAAGCAAGCATGTATATCCATTTATAAACTGTTATAGGACTCCTTGTTTCCTAGCCTAATACTGAAGTTACTAAGTTACAGTGCATGGAATATGTACAGTCTTAAGTGGTTCAATACTTGAGTAAAGCACATACATAATAAAACGAAAAAAACTGCAGAATTATTGGAGACTCCAGTTTTAGTGTACCTTGTAAAAACTTGTATTAAAGTATGTTTATTTTTAATCCAGGTATCCTCAATGTTTGCATATGTTAGAGCTGCTCCAATATGAACATTTCCGCAAAGAACTGGTAAATGCTCAGTGTGCTAAATTTATTGATGAGCAACAGATTCTTCACTGGCAGCACTATTCACGGAAAAGAATGCGCCTCCAGCAAGCACTTGCAGAGCAGCAGCAACAAAACAACACCTCTGTAAAATGAAAAACGCTTGGAAGAGTGATGATAAGGTCTACTTTATGTCAGTTGAAGTATTTACAAGAGAGGAATGAACTCTTTTGTAGGTTTGGTTCTGAGTGTTAATTTTTTATTTATCAAGTGACTGGGTTTTTTTTTTCTTTCATCAACTTTTTTTAAAGATACAAGACTGATAAACACCTACTTCTGCAATTTATTTTGTAGCATGGACAATTTTGTAAGAGCATTACTATAGTTGTTGATTCCTCTTGATTTTTAAAACAAACATAGTTTTGAGGGTACTGACATTTAAGTATCTAACACGAAGTGTAGCTCAGAAGTCAGTTCTTAGGAGGCATTTTCCCTGGAGAATAATGATGTGTCTCAAAGTGTGGCTAAGAACTCCCTCCCCACTTTTTACAATTGCTGGATGAGCAAAGTTGAAGTGATGATATTGTACAAAATCTAAATTGTGGATTTTTGCCTTCAAACTGAGCTGAGCTATTACTTGTCATTTCTGTTTACCTGGTAATCATTGTTGCTGGGGGTCTTACAGAGTTTTTCTTACAGCATGTCTTAGAGATAGAAATCAAAGTGTGACCAGACAAGGACTGCAAGGAGCAGAGATAAGTAATAATAAACTTTGCAGATACTCAACGGAAGGAAATAGGCTGTACCTGTATCTGTTTCATTAAAGTCAGCTTATTTTAATCTTGGTTTTCTGCCAGTGAAATAGTGGCTGCTCTTAGGCTTCTCTACAGTATGTGTAGTGAAAACAATTTGTGTTACAAAAAAATGTGTAAACGCTTACAGTAGTGGAGAAGCATTTGCCATTTATTCCTGTATAGTTTTTATTGTAAGAACACAGATATTGGCAGCTGTCAGGCATTCGTGCTGCATTCATGTTATATTTCATATCCTTATAGGAGCTGGTACTGCAACTGTTAACCCTTAACGTGATCACTGGCACCAGGACTGTCAGCCTTCAGCTTATCGTACTTAGACTGAACAGATAAGCCATTAAACATCTCTGGCACTGAAAATTTATCTTAACAGCTTCAGTAGCTATGTAAAGTCAGATTTAGGAAGAACAAGCAGTTTTTTCTGTTTCTCCTACCACCCCGCCTCCCTTATTCACTATTAAAGGTATAACTCAGCAGTTAAATCTTGCTCTTCAGTAATTGTAGGCTGCTCTCTCAGTTTATAACATGAGCTCAGCTCCTTTGAAAAGAGGCTGTTTAAAAACTCAAGTTTATTTGAACATGAAAGGAAAGATACAGGTTTTTTGCAGGATTTTAGTGGAAGGTTTGGACCTAGAATTTACTTCAGACTAGTCAAGATAAATGTAATTAATTAACCATGAAAGTTTTAGAAAAGGTTAAGGATCCCTTGAAAGGACACTGCAAGTAACTTGAGATTAACATCTTCATACATGATTGACTACTGGAGGATTTAGTCTTCAGTAAACAACATACGCACAAGCTCTGCTTTAAAACATTCTTCTTCCACCAGCTTCTGAGGCTGAAAGAAAAGATTGTTTAGGGGCAATTCAAAAACCTGTTCTAGACTAGAGCCATTTGTGCATACTAACATTAGCTATACTCCAGCAACTGTTTTTCTGGGAAGGGTGGGGGGTAGGGTGGGGTAGAGCAAGCAAGGTAAGAATAATTGAAAAATGCCTGAGGGTTTGGAAGAGGCATTTCTAAGAAAGTAACTGCTAATATAAATAATATGCACAAGTTAAAACTTGAGCCACAGTCTGTCTGAATCAAGAGTATACTGCACATAACTTTGTTTCACTCCCATAAGTCAGCATTTGGATTTTTTAAAATTTGAGGAGCTGCAAGTCAGGAAGCTAACAGTATGTTGCTAAGAAATTTCTCTACCCCTCAACCACTACATGCTAAGTGTACATATTTTCTTTATTATATGTTTATTATAGACAACATTATACAGAAAGCAGAGTGGTTCTCTCTTGAGGAACTGTTTGAGCTGGGAAGAGTGCATGGGTGGGAACAGAAGAGCTGTTCCTAATTGTCTGTTCTTTTTAAACAAGAGAGGGTATCAGAAAACATGCATGAATAATTCATTTACAGCCATAAGCTCCTGCCAGTTTCCCATTTGAATGCTTGTAGATCCAGAACATACAATAAATCACTTACTGTTCCATATTTAAGTAGTGTAGGCACTCCTGTTAGTTTCAGATTCTTCCTGAATTCATTGTTGGGATCTTTCCAGCTGTTCAGGAAGAAGGAGTTAAGAGGTGCAGTTTGTAGAGGTGCAGTTTGAAGTTAGCCTGTTAAAATTCCTTCAAAAGGATGATTCAAAGGTCTTTGCCTTGCACCTCCCCCAGCCCACTTCTCAGAACAAGCATGCAGATAGTTCACATTAGGGATGGTGTAGACCTCAAAACTCAAAAAAATGCTTCATTCCTTGCAGAAAAGGACAGTTCAGTCAGTTAACCTCCAGTCCACCAATAGCAGTTTTACCAGTTGTCGGCATTAAAACAGTTACTTACTAGGCTCTGTCTCCTACTAGGCAGTAGATGAATACAGACTCATCAGGCATGTTATGAAGTTCCTTCCTCACAACCGGTTCAGCTAGAGAGTAATTTTTAAAATGTATTAGTAGTTAATACTTTTACTGTGCTACAGAATCACACTGATCTATTTTGACCAGCAAGGCTGCTAATTAATGTTTTGTCTGCTTCAGGTAGAGATCTGTATTTTGTTTCATCTGGTTATCCCCAAGCTTTGCAGAATTTACATGCTCAATGTTGAAGGGACTGGTCTTTGAGTAAAGGCCAATTTCTGCCTTAACAAGTAAGAAAAATAAATATTGCCTCCTATCTGTATGAAAGTCCATCAGTGTGGTAAGCACTTTCCATATATGCTCTGGCATATATGATCGAGAAAGTGCAGTGCAATGTTTTCTGAGGAACTGCATATTCTACTGCCAGACACTGGTAGGTCGCTTCTGCCTCTTGACATGTAAAGCAGAAGTGAATTAACTGATCGTGATTCACATCTAATTTTTTGCTATGCCTTTGTACCAGCCTCCACTGAACAACATGTTACATTACATGCCATTCAGAGGAATGTGGCTAGCAAACCCGAGAGCAGCACGGGCAGCTTGTTACTGAGGCAGCAGCTTTAGCCAGCTCCTAGTCACAGCCTACACTGCCGGTTAGGTTCACGAGCTTGGTACGTGCAGCTGGAGCTCGAAGCCTGAACCTCGTCCAGTACACTCACGTCCTCGATAACGGAGGCAGGATACTGTGAGGCCGCTCTGTACCGGGAGCTGCTAGTGGCCCACCTTACGTGTCCCAGGAAGGGCACCCGGGGCTTCTCCGGCTTCCTCAGGCAAACGGGAGAGAGCGAGCGCGTACCCGCGGGCAGGGGCAGCCGGCCTGAACGGCGGGCAATTAGCACGGTCCCCGCGGGGCTGAGCGCCGAGGGCGCCCCCGCCACCAGGGTCGTTCCGCCG